GAGAGGATGTGAGTGAGGGTGAGTGCAGGAGGGGGTAGGAGGAGTGAGGGGTAGGAGTGAGGTGAGGAGGTGGTGGGGTGGAGGAGGGGGAGGTGTGAGTGGGGTAGGAGAGAGGAGGTGTGAGGGGGTAGGAGGAGTGAGGGAGGTAGTGAGTGGGGTAGGGAGGAGGAGGAGGGAGGTATATACAGCCAATAGCCTAATTAACCAGACGAAGTAGTTCAGCTGTTTACCAAAATATAACAACTTCTGCTCGGCTGCCTGTGAAAGTGTACAGTAACCTCTGCCTTATTTACTTACTGCAGCATCGGATAGTATTATTGTTAAACACTCACGGTCAATTATAATCCCCTTGAGTACAGTGTCTTCATCCTGTGTACTGTTAATCGACCCCCCCCCTTCCCCTCCCCCCTTTTGAGTGATATCTTTACCCAGAGTACGACGACCTATCCCCTTGAGTACGAGGTTTTTGTCCTCGCTAATCAACTATCGCCAAAAAATCTTAAATTTAATTTTTGGTGTAAGTTGTTGTTTTTTTTTAGCTTCCTGGAACTGATATGAAAGTAATGTGTTTTTTGAATGGTGAAATGACATAACCTCAGCGTGTGTTTTATTTATTTATTAATTTGTTTTTGTGTTTTAATTTGTTGTTGTTATTGAAGGGAGTAGAGGTGGATATCGTCTGAACATGAAAATCAAAACACCGTGTTATTGTCCAAACAAATAAATACATAAAACACTTGCATTTTTTTTTCTTTCTTTGTGTTCTCGTTGGTATGACAAAAAAAGAAAATACTCTTTGTTTTGGGTGGGGAAAGTATTGACCCAACATCAAACGTTGCTGGGTCGGCGTTACACACACACACACACACACACACACACACACACACGGACAAAAATGTCTGTTTTTTTTAGAAAGTATTAACCCAGTATAAAACAATTACTTTTATATATATTTTTGTTTAAGATTAACGTAACCTGGAATTATTTTTGTTGGGGTAGAATTAAATACTTTTTTGTTTTTAGAAAGTGTTTATCTAATTAACGTGTGTGTGTGTGTGTGTGGAAGCCCCCATAGTATAGAAGGAAGTAAGGGTTGGGTGGTGAAGCGAGGCTGTGGGTCTCCTTCTGGAATCTTGCAAGCTGCACCAGTTTTACGGCCCACCTACTGCTCTTCCTGCCCCCCTATACTGTGTGTGTGTGTGTGTATACTATTTTCCTTCCTCCCTCTCTCATGTATACTATTTTCCTTCCTCCCTCTCTCATGACTGCGTGTGTGTGTGTATCTGCTTCTGTTTTTCCTCTCTTGCTTGACTGACTGACTGGCGGCTGTTTGTGCTTTCTCGTTCCTCTGTCTGTCTGCCTTTGTTTGCGTCTGTTTGGTTCTGTTCCATGACTGTTTCTTCGTCTCGGTTTTCTTGTCCGTCTGTGTCTGTCTGTCTGTCCGTCTGTCTGTCTGTCTGTCTGTCTGTCCGTCTGTCTGTCTGTTTTCATGGCTATACTTCGCTCATTGTTAGCCAGAATGCTTGGGTGCCATTCTGTCTGCCTGTCTGCTTTTTTGTCATGTTTGTCTGCTTGTTATCTTGTTTACGTGTCGAACGGAGTGCTTAAGTGTCTGCCTGCGTGTCTACCTCTATCTGTCAGTCTGTTTGTATACTATCCAAGTGTCAGCCAGAGAGTGGATGCTTGCCTGCCTGTGTGCTTGTATTTATCTCTGCTTGCCTTATATTATCCGCATGTCAGCCACAAAGTGCTTGAGTGCTTGCCTGCCTCTGTCTGTATGTACCTCTCTGCTTGCCATATTGTCTGCGTGTTAGCCAGAGAGTGCTTGGGTGCTTGCCTCACTCAGCCTCTGTGATATATTGTAATGTTCGCGGTAGATTGCTTGTACAGTCCTTGAGGCAATATATAGTTGGGGAGAGAGTGTAAGAAGGATGGGTGGGCAGTGGGTGGGTGGGTGGGTGGTGGGTGGGTGGGTATAGTAGAAGTGGCTAAGGTTTTTGTCTCTGGTAATACTGTAATTTCTTGTTAATGGTCCAAGTCTGTTATACATGTTCATTTATCTGTTATTGTTTTTGTTATATTTGTGTTATTGTTTTTATTTGTTAGTATCATTATTATTTTTTGTCACATGATTTTTTTATTATTATTACTATTACTATTAGGGAAGGACGGGTCACTACATTATGGAAATACCGGTAATTAACATCTATTAATCATATGATATAATTAGCCCTCATTACTAAGCACAATGGTAATGAATAACAAACTAGTAATTGTTTTGATAATACCTTTAACGATATTAATGTGACAACTGTTGCTCACTAATGATGTTAATAATTGCCACTTATTAACGAGGGCCATAAGTCTTAATTAATAATGACCGTTGTTAATTAATCAAGGTGACAGCCAAGTGGACAGTTATAGTCAGCATTGGTAATAGACGCCATAACCTAACCCGTATTTATAGCCGTGACGACATGGCGGCTTTTGTTTACATTGGTGATGGTGGCAGCGGGCAGGAAACGGTGTGCTGGTGATTGTGGCTGACTGCTTTATCTAAGTATACTCTGGACAAAGGCTTCCGGTGTGTGTATGTGTGTGTACAGTATCATCGCCCACTTGCTTGTGTGTAAGGATTTTTCTCTAAGGGTGAGACAGAGGGGTGAGGGTAGGGAGGGGTGAAGGTAGGGAGGGGTGAAGGTAGGGAGGGGTGAGGGTAGGGGAGGGGTGGTAGGTGGTTCTCTAATAACTGTAGGTATGCATGGCTTGGCTGAACTTGGGTGTTTGCTCTGCTCACACACCGCCAGAAGGTGAGATCACTGTACAGGTATATTTAACTTTCAGACCCGCATATATACTGTAGTTCTTCAAACATCCCCAAAGATCATGGGTCAAGTTCTCGTATCCGTGTTGTGCTTCCTACACTCTCACTCTCTCTGTTTGTTTGTTTGTTTGTCTGTCAGCCACGCCCCTCCATCCTATGCCGCTTTCTCTTGCTCTTCTCTCCTTTAACCGACTCAAATCACACTGTTTTTTGTTTGTTTTTTGCAGTTGAGAAATTAATTATCATCCTACTGACTATTGAATTAACTGCTGGAACTTGTCTAAGAATAAAGTATTCATTTTGTTGTATATGCTTTGTTAGAGTTGTGAAGTTTACAGTAGATCACCGTTTAGTATCCCAGAGATTTATTTATACGTTAAAACCTTTGTGTCTTAAGTTATAATGACTTCCTTTATGCTTCCCCAACATCACCAGATATGAGGAACATTTTACATAGGAACTTCGTGTGGGGATGGATCATTGTGTCGTAGCTCCAGCGAGTCGATTAGAGGCGTGTACATGTTTTCATATATACCTTGTACGAGAGTAACTTTTATCTGTGGTGTGTGGGCAGCTGGTGATGACGGAGACACAGTACACCATCACAGCGCCGCCAGGGAAAAAAGTTACCCCGGGGTCTTTTGTGTTGCATGCTGGAGGAGGTAGGGACTGGGAGCTGCCTGGGGGGTGTGTGTGTGTAAAAAATGCACAGCTGTACCCAAAGACAGACGAGTCGACGACACTGTTCGCTGGGGATGGCTGCAGTGCCACGGTGTCCGAGTGTCTGGAGGAAATATAAACCGACTTTTCTTCCAGCATTGTTTTGAGGTTACAGCATCGTGTAGTAAATTCTTAACAATGAACGGTTTAGTGCTGGACAATGGACCCCGAACTGTGTTGTCATAAACGCGTTTTTAACTGATAAAAAAATCAAAATACGACCGTTGTTTGTGGATGTGAGGGAAGTACTGTACTGTAATTCTCAATAGGCTGCTACCAGATGCTGGGCTCGTGTTCCGTGGTTCCAACCCTCATTATACGGCTTCTTAACGACCACCAACATGGGTATTACAGACCTGAACACCTTCGTAATTACTTCATGTTTTAGGTTAACTTGATGTGGTAACGAGAGAAATGGCTTCTTACGAAAAGGTAATGTGGGTTGGTTGGCAAGAGCGGCCATGTTGGCGTCAGCTGATGGCGGTAAAATACGTCACGCACTGTGGCACTTCATATTATTATAAGGAGATTGAGAAAGTGAGAAGCTTCCAAGTTATCTCGTGTAATTATTATATTTTTCCTCATCACTGTAATAAATGGAATAGAAAGTGTATGTGTGGTAATAATAAGTGAAGGAAGGCCCATCGTCGTAAGAGGATTTGCGTGAATGTCATTATTACCGCCGAAAATTCTTAAAAGTGATCATCTAGAATTTACGTATCATGAAAGTTGATTGTATTACCTACATAATTTCATACATAATGTTAATATAAATTTCTTTGCAGAATTGTAGTAATTTGAAGGATATTTTTTGATTTAGGCCTTTTTTACCTTCTACAAAATCTACCACTTTTAGTTCTTGTAGACCATGTTCTTTTTTTATCCACAAACATTAGTCGCCTTGTTTTATTAATTCAAATTAATAATAAACGTTTCTTGTGTCGCCATTCATCGTGGACATTTCATCGTTTTAATTTATATCTTACGATTTTGGCAAGCAGTGTATGTCGTCAATGTTTGTTATTGTGTGTGTATGTGAATTCCGATACTGTATATGGAAGATCACTGGTGTTGTGTAAGCAGTGTGTATATCCTGTATGTTTGTAAGCGTGTGTATAGTTTTATTGTTGGTCTTAAAGTGTAATGTAGTATATTCACTATTGTATGGTGTAAGAGTAACCACTTTAAACCTTCATATATTAAGGATAGTATTTTGCATGCTTCGTCTTGTGTGGTTAATGTGTGTGTATTTTGTATATATTCACCCATAGTCTCCAGCACATTTACATATTTATACTGTGGGTTTTCTCATGTATATAAATTATTCCACATATTCGCCCTCGCGTGTAAATATTTCTGTACATAAATATTTCATGTGTGTGTGTGTCCATTCCTCCTCTTGTAGCCAGCCTCGTGTATTGTGTCTCATTACTCACGTCACCTCTCCTCTCCACAGCGCCCCTAAGCGGGTCGGAGGCACGGCGGTGGCGTCCCAGCTCTACCGCACCTCCTCCTTCTCCTCAGGCCGCTCTTCCGCCGCTGATCAGGAAGATATGTACTCTGACGCATCTCTCGAGGACGACGTACTCGACCTCAACCACAAGGTCAGCGACAGCTCCTGACGACACCCCCGAGGCGTTGGTGGTGGTGAAGCGGCCGTAGCCATAATGACGCCTTGGTGGTGGTTTTGTCACCAGATTTTAAGCTTTTTAGCAGCTTGGGTGTTGTGGTGGCGGTAACGCATGCTTCTTGGTTACCAGACTCTCCTGCCTTGGCGAGGAACGTGTAATTTAACAGTTTTTATTCACCTTGTGGGTTTTTCTTTCAGGTGCACAGCTTGTTGTTGTGTACTGTACTTTCTCTTGGTTTACTTATATTGCTTCTCTTTCGGTTGCAGGGTTTTGCACGCTTTATTCACAGCTGTTCAGTCTTCAGATTGCACTAGACAATATACCAGTTTATATACTTTCCTCTTTACTGTTGCACCACCTGTGTGACGTACAGCCGTAGACACATAACCTAGTCGTTAGTAAACATGCTTGAGCACTGACCATAGTTGGTTCCTCCTTATGTGGCCGCGTCAGGAGGGAGAGACCAAAGGTGTCTGAGGAGGACCTCTTGTACCTCCACCCGGATCACACAGAGGACGCCGAGTACCTCCACTCTAAGGTAGGTCCTCACTCTTCCCGGCTGAGTCATCAAGTGCGTCTTGAAGGTAAGACTCGAGTTATTCGTCAGTACGGTAAGTTTATCCAGATTCAGAGAGGTTGAGGTTGAGACGTAAAACTGAAACAGACATCGTTCTAATTAGGCTAAAGGACTTGTCGTATTAGGATTATAATTTTACACTTTTACACATTTTATTTCCACATTCTCATCACGTACAGTAGGTCAAGTAAGGCTAGACGTCACGCCAGATTAATGTGAAGTAGAAGGTCGGCGGGCAGCATTTTCCGTAAACAAAAAGATATTGCACTCGGTCTAAAAATATATTGCGTGAGGTTAGGATAAAGTTGAGGCATGTGAAGGAGGCGGCGAGTGGTGGTGAGGGCGGCGTCTCAGCAGAGGGCAGGAGGTCGTTGTATTGTGACGTTGGTTTATAATGACAGAGCACCTCCCGGGGAACGTCGTCGGCAGGATGTCTGGGAGTGAGTGACAGCCACTTGAAAGGGGCGGCGCCAGATACAACAGCGACATTGGGCGTCCTCGACTAGTAAACAGTAACGGCGTAATTAGATTTGATTTCTTTAAACTATCAAACTGAATTTAGCCAGACTTAACCACCCACCCACTCTCAACAAGTTTACCCCGCTGGAACAAAGTTAAGACACACACCCCCCCTCCCCTGCCCTTAACAACTTGTTCTGTAGAGTCTGCCGCTGCCGACCCAACACTTGAGCCACGTATTATGACCCCAAGGACCCGTGGCTGGGGAAATTGTGGCACATTTCTCCAAGAAGGTCGGTTTTATCTTCAGATGAATGTCAGATAAATCCCTATTATATTTGAACCCTGGATTGAAAAAAAAAAGGACAGACGTATTTAAATTTCTTCCAGGGTTCAAAAGCAATAGGGATTTATATGACAATATTACTTCGACGAATCAGGGAACACAAAAGTTACGGATTTTTTTGACCCCGTATTCTACTCCTACTTTGGAATAGGTTAATATACCGATTCTCTGTGTTTGGAGTTAGGAAAACAAAATACTAACAACACGGTCCTGAGCCCACCATTGTTGAGGACAAAGAAGGGAAACAAAGTGGGTTGCCGGGGTGTCGGAGAAATATTGCCTAGAGGGGATGGGCGGAGGGTCGCAGGTGTGTGTGGGAGGGGTTGCCCTGCCCTGCCCTGCCTGTCTTGTCGGCTGCTTGGTTGAGGCTCTTGTGTTGTTCTTCCTGTCAGTGTGATGGTGACGTAGACTTTGTGATGATGGTGTTACGGTGGTGTTACTGTGATAATGAGTGTTAGAGGTGCTACTGGTGTTATTGCAATGTTAATAGTGTTACGGTGGTGTTACTTTAGAATACCAAACCGAGCATTTGTGAACATTTGGACTTGTGAACAAACTAAGAGTATCACATATTTCGCTGTTGGTCGTAGAGGTTTTATCTGGCTGGAAAGTCCTGGATTGCGGGAGGTAATGAGTGAGATGTCGAGGTGAGATTACAGTTTTATTATGCTAACTCAACACAGGGGGACGTATTACTGCAGTCAGTTTATAGTATAGTGAGCAGTGGTGGTAGGAAGGGGGTTTGTGTAGTGAAGATTGTACCTATGAAAGAGTACAGGTATTATTATATTGGTTGAGTACAGTAGTTTGGTGGTAGGGGATGGTAGTGGTGAGGGAGAACATTGATAAATTTGTCGTAATGGTGACAAGGGTGGTGATAGTGATGAAGTTGTTTTGGTGATAGTCGTTGATATTGTTGATAATTCCACTCGTATTTGTGATAGAGGTGTAATCATATGGTCTCTTAACCTTGTTCTCGGTATTAATGCCTCTGGCCGAGAGATTTGATGTAATATTAATTTTTGGGAAGCACCTGATGATTAATCCATCCTTACCTAACCTAACCTAACCTCACTCTAATCCAACCCCACCCCAGGTAGTGCTAGGGTGGTTAATCTTTAGGTGAAATAATGTAGTACTAAATCTTCAGGTAATCCTTTTTGTTATGTGTATACAGATATAACCTTGTGTACAGTCAACACCGCATTGGTTGGTAGTGGTGATGTGGGGCTGTGATACCGGGAGGAAATATTATGGGATCAGCAGGTGTGACGTCATACGGAGGGGGCTATTGTGTGTCGTTCAGCAGGAAGGAGACATACGCGAATTCTCCATTAAAGAAAAACCTATGTGATAAAACCAACTAAATCCATTCGAAACAGTTAATGGATAGAAAAAAAGTGTCCGGTAATGTGAATAATAATGATGTAAACTGATATATTAAAGAGTATAATTACATAATCCATATTGAATCCTTTTTGAAAACATTTAATGGATAGCTTCGTGTGTTTTCGCGGTACGCACAAGCAAATTTCACCATGACGCTTCTAAGAAAATATATACTTGAGAATGTAACTAAATTGTTGGAAAAGTTGCTGGTCTTGTTTGTGTAAAACGACCATTGACAAAAAATTCGATCGATTATTTAAAGTAAAAGTTTGATCTTAAAAGTCCAAAACTAACGTCCTATTCCGGTGAGAAAAAATAGGTTATTGGTGAAAAGTTAATAAGGCCAAAACCTCACATGTCTCCACCACATCTTGAGGCTGTAAAAAAATATATATATGTGGTGTCAAGTGCAGTAACCATGGCTAACAATCGTCAATGGCGGATAAGTACATTCCTGTGTAATCTTGTTTATCAGCGCCCGATAGTGCACTTTATCACCCTTTTTCTAGCCTAGACTGATCTCTCGGGAATATGAAGAAGACATTCAAGTTAGTGCGTGTTTTTATACAAGTGAATGTGGGTTATTTAATTAAGATCAGCATTGTTACAACGTTTAAGATATTTCACAATAGAATAAAGAAACAATAATAAGTTGTGACAAGGACGAGACAGTGGTTGGCAGTATGGGGGGGGTGTAGAGGTGTTAGTGATGGAGCCCAACCCGTCGACACCAGCTGTGCTTTCTCTGTAAACAAACCTTCAGTACTGTTATATCGTATGAAAATGACCCTTTCTTCGTCCGTTACTCATTTTGTGAATCATAGTGTATTATATTTCATGGAAAGATGAGTGATGTACAGTGCAGTGATATATATAACTACGATTGAAAGTGAAATGGCGACAACACTAGTGAATGAGTTGGAAAACGTTGGCCAGAAACAGCGAGTGTTGTTAGGTTTGTTACTAGTATTGTAAAAGAAAATGTGCTGATGACTGTTGAACCATGAAGTGATATATAAATAATATGTTATCCTCGGAAAAAAAAGTGTCGATCATCCAAAAATATTAGGCGTTTGAAGTGACGACATTGTAAGCCGTAAATAATATCCCGTGTCACGTATCTTGTTCCGTGTACATTATAATTATTCATTGGCTTCTTACTCACACCTAATTCTAGCAGTTTATTTAATAGTGAGAGGTGATGAATATGGCGAGAACGTGTGTGTGTTGGAAGGGCAGGAGGGAGGAAGTAGGGAGTGGCAGCCAGCGTTTATAGTACAACTCCCAGGAATACCAAGGAGAAATTCGTCTCATATCTCAGGCGTTTTCCCAGTGGCTACAGACATGATAATCATACCAACCCAAGCGGGAATAATAGATGAAGTGAAAGTCTTTGAGTTGTCTTTTCTGTAAAGGAGTGTAGCCAACAGTTAAGAAACGCTTGGTGAACGGGTGTTAGCTCAAGGTAGCCAGCCAAGGAGTGTGTACTTAAAGGCGTTATGTTTTGGTTACATTTGTATTTGTTTCTGTGTATTTGAAAGTTTAATAAATACAAACTACAATCCATGTTTCTGTAATATACGGTATATATAATAAGAATGTTATCGAGCTTGTATTTAGGAGAGACGGGATGAATATTCGAGTGGAAATTCAGGACTCAGCCTATGAATAAATTAGCAAAGCTGAATATGATGCTTACGATGTCAAATTAATACAACCTACGTATCACTTTGGGTCGGAGGTTTGTACAGGGAAATATACCACGTTTAAGAGACAGTTTACTTATGATCAAAGTATAACAACTCATGGATGTAGTTTTAACTCGAAATACAAGTGGCTAGTTAAGGTTACATGTGTATAGGTTTGTGTTAAAATGAATATTCAGGTGGCTAGTTTAAGAGGGTAGTTTTTTTTAAAGGGATATACAGTGTATATTTAATGGTGTGTGTGTGTCATTGACGGCCATCTTGAGTGAGGAGGCGGAGGGTTAAACAAATGAAGATAAACCTGCGCAATACAATACTTACGCATTGATCAAATCAAAGCTTAACCTTGCACATAAATTCAGAAAACTGTAAAATATTGTATAAACACTTTGTTGAAAATGTTACCGAGAGATGAAAGCTTTACTATGGTAAGGTTGCTGATTCACGGCGAGGCTATGAATAGAAAGACATGGTGCTAGCCTTCGCTCTCGGCAGT